GAGATAAAACATTTTATGATGAATTGTTGGTAATCAAAATGTTTTCATGCATAACACTTTATAATGATATAGCCAGTTATATAAAATACAATAGAATACTTTGGGGAAAAAATCCTGGTTATTACCTGTTAGAAAATTAAAAGAAATTAAAATCCTGATTAACTGATGATGAGTAAAAATATAGCTTCTAAATACTCTCAGTAGTCGAATCTGGAACTGCAAACACTAAACTAGTGCTTGTCTGTGGTGATTTACCCACTCAAGAACTTCTTACTGGGGATCTACAAATTTTATTTTGCTCCCCAAAGGTTATGTAGTATCAAAATTGACAATGGGGCCGGTTCAGGTATCCCATTATAATCAATATTACCAAGCTCTTTTTTTGCGTGAACTTGGTATTTGTGAGGGTTGGTCATTGAACAGGCACCAACTAGTGACCAGATGAGGGAAATTCAGCACCAAGCCAGATTCTGCAAGATTCTGCTATTTGAACCCCAAATATCCAAATTTTAGAGAAAAAACAACAACAATATAGCAACTACAGATAACAGTTGAACTTTGTTAATCGGATCACTTTTGTTCCTAGAGAGAATGTCAGTACCAGTACGTAGGGTCCCACAACAACATTAATTGTGTTTTATTGATTGGAAAATTTGTTGGGGTAATATATCTATCTAGCCTGAGTTTCCTCTGGCCCTGATACAGGATTTGGACATTTTGACAGAGACATCTGGTGTGGGACCATATTCCATCTTTGCGTATTGCAGAGTTTATGAACTTCTCTTGTGAGCAGGTATTGATTGTTACGTCATTGGTTTGTGAGAGTAACGTTATCAATTTTTGAGAAAACGACGTAATTTTCTCACACAAACCAATGACGTAACAATCAATACCTGCTCCCAAGAGAAGATAACTCTGCAATAAGGAAAGACGGAATACCTGGTACTGACATTTTCTCTAGAAACGAAAGTGATCAAATTAACCCTTTCACCAGTGTAGACCATAATGGACTCATCCAGATCAATGTATGGTAGAGTCTACAAAAGTTATCTAGGGGGGAAAGGGTTAACAAAGTTCAACTGTTATCTATAGTTGCCATATTGTTGTTGTTTTTTCTCTAAAATTTGGATATTTGGGGAAATCCCTCCTGTTCTTTCTGAGAAATAGCGATAACAAGAAAATAGTGGTCTAAAAAGTAGATGGTAAACACAGGCAAACCAAATGATGCAGTCTGCTTAAACTAGCAAATTTACATGTATTAGGAATAAATAGATTTATGGAATTTTGTTGGAAAAATACAAACCTTTGTCTTCAGTGCAGGATTGATTACCTACATTTATAATATTACAAGCCATTTACATTGCCATACACATGTAGTAAACAAGCCAAACAAACAGAATTTAGGTAAAAACTTGAAAATGTTCGTACTGAAGCACAAATGCTCTCACACTCCAACTTCCCTGAAAATGGAGTTAAAGTTGCATTGAACTAAATTTAAACAAGCCATTCGGATTGATATGTCTCGCCTATGCCCTGCTTTGACCATCAATGCACACATCAGAGAAACTAATTTAAATACAAAAAAATCATGTTGATGGAGATGCTGAAAAAGTCATGATCAATGGACCATCGAAAGTAGCATTTGATGCATGGGTTAAGATGCACTACCTAGGATGCATCTATGGTCCAAGTTTGGTTGGTCTAGCACTTATAAATACTTTCAGTGAAACTAACTTAAACGTAAAAACTTAATGTCGACGCCGGAGCCGTCGCCAGAAAAGCAACACATTAGTCTCGCTTCCACTTTGTGGCGGCGAGACAAAAACCATTTATGTAAGGCACTGTGACCTTAACTTGTCATATGTTGGTGTATAACCTCTCAAGATGTATTCACATACATGGAATGAATGAAGTATAATATAGATATGGCTTACAAAATTCTGTTGAATGTTAAGGCCGAGTGCATCGATCCCTGTACCATTGGGCATTGCCAAACAAATGTATCTATAATTAATTTGGGAGGTTTTCTACTGATATGACTGTACACATGTAGCTTTAACTTTTTTTCTGAAAAGAAACACATTTCTTGCAGAACTTACATGAAAAGATAATAAAGATGAAATATACAAATGAAATCAACAACAGCTTTCTGAAAATTAAAATGAATTAGGGTTGGAGACTTATGGGATAGGAACATGTAACCTCAGAATTTTGATAATATTTGTTCACTCTAAACAGATGAGCCACGTACTGAGGATGAACAGCAGTTGTCTCGACATGTCTGGCCTATCATATTTTTAATCCCCAGGACAGTTATATCCAAAATGAAATTAAGGGGAGCTAGGTCACTGTATGTATGTATGAAAAACAACAGTCTAATTCTCTTCTTTTGTTTGCAGTGGGACAGGGATCCTTAAAAGATCAATACTGTGAATTAACAAAAAAGTGTTTCACTGGAAAGAAAATGGAATAAACAGGAACCAAAGGATTAAATTACAGCTATTGCCTTCTATGACCAAATAGACATTAAATTCATCTAATTAATTAATATTTGGTTATGAATATTTCTTGGAAGCTTAATTCAGGGACTCTTAATAGAATTGACAGTTATATAATTTACTGTTAAGAAAAATATTAATCTTGCTTGCGGTGGAAAACAAACAACGAAATGTAGTCAACAGTACACTTGCATGTGTACTATATTATTGATTCCATGAGTTTAAATGGAGTTTAATAATATGAAATGGCAAGCTACTACAGTTCACTAATTGAAACATCAGACAATTAGCCTGATGCCTTTCTCTCTAGTTTTCATGAATGTTGTGTTATATATACACAGTATTAAACGTCAACTGACAAACTGGGGACAGTGGGGAGTTCTAGATACATTTTAAAAAGCACTTGGAGTGCGTGGTTGGGTCAAGCGAGCAAGAGTGAGCCATGCTGTGAACATACTTAGTCATATGACCATGTACATATACCATTTTTAAATACATTTTACACAATCAGAAAACATGCTTAATGTTGCATAACACTACACAGTGTTCTGAATTTTTTATCTACATGCATTTAGTGCTGAATTGTCAAAAGGCCTTAAGTTGTCTTGGCCTGACAGGCTGAGAGCATATATATAGTAGTTAAAGTTTACGTTTTAAGTTTAAGTGGCCCTGACACCAGACTTAGACATTTTGACAGATAGATGACCAGACATCTATCTGTCAAAATGTCTAAGTCTGATGTCAGCGCCATAGGAAACTATGGCTACCCTTTATCCCTTTTCTCTGATAGTTTTACATGATTTTTAACAATTTTTTTATCAAAACAGAATATGTGTAAGATGTTTTACTCCCCACCAACACATGAAAAACTTTGATCTAAATCAAGATTTTGTTAACATTAACATCCTCGGAAAGCATATCTGGGAACCAATTAAATCTGCATCACAGGGATGCTTATCTTAGGATCATCCGATGCACTCTTTGATGCAATGTTTAATGGACACTTATTACTTATACTGGATGCATGTTGATACAGCAATTGCACCAACAAAAATTCAACCAAGTCAACAGTAATGGAGTAATCAGAAAAATGGTTAAGTTTCACTGTCTCACCAGCTTGGCCTGTATTTATTTCATGTGAATGATAATTAAAACCATAACCCATCCCAACTTCTTTGCTTACATCGGCCTAAATATGCATGTAGCCAAATTTGTCCCAGTTCCTGTCAATTGGGTAAAGCACATGAGCGGTTGGACCTGCTGGATTTTTGTTTTCTATGGTGTAGCATGAAATGTTCAGTCAGCATCACAGTATACTTCATATGTATATGTACTGACAACACTTGTATATGTGTCCTCCATTATATAGTATGTGACATGTCCCTGTGATCTGTGTTGTGCACCCAGTTATCTTATTCCTTGTTCGGGTAGACTAGAGCCCTTTTTTTGTCTCGTTATATCATATCGTAAACTGTCCTAAGTTAAAAGGTTTTATTAGACCAGAGCATGGTGGCCAATACACAAATCATACTTATTTTCATGGAACCATAGTGAGCCTTGATATTAACAGGTCGGGGAAAACCACCACCTTGCGTATAATACGCAAACTCACCTACTATACGCCAGTTGGAGTATGGATTTGTTACTAAAAATAACCCAAATCGCTTTAACAGTAACTTTAGCAAGATATTATTAAAAATCGCATTAATATACAACAAGATAAATAATATTTTGCTAAAAGATGTTTACTGAAAGCGTTGGCTACTTAGAAACTTGATGTAACTTTAGCGGAAGTATTGCATCTATTTTTGGTACTTTCCCACATGCACATTATGTTTCATGACTGAATAAATAAGACTTGGACAAACAAAAATGAGAAAGTTAATATTAAAGTGATTTTGGCTATTTTTAGTAACAAATCCATACCCTTATTGGCTTATAATAGGCGAGTTTGCGTATATACGCAAGTTAGTGGTTTTCCCCGACCTGATAAGTGTGTGTAGTTTAAACACTCAGCCATATCATTAATTCAAACATATTTTCCATATAAATGTCCATCTATTTCAATAAGTAATTAATTATCGGTAATTTTGTAAATATATCTTATTATTCTGTGTAAATGTATATATATGTTGCACCGGTTCAGGAGAAGATTAATATAGGCACTGCCTGTTGTCTAATCCTTTCGTAAATACAATAAAATTTGTTGAAACCAAACCATAATGATGACACTCTGCAGTGTCTTACGATGGCTCGATTGGTAAGCTATTTCCAGTTTACCGTTTTTATTTAATTGAGTGGGAAACATTCATGCAAAAAAAATCTTCTTATAACACACAGGTCTCTGACATTCTACAGCTATATGATATGATAAGATATTATGATACATGTGTATATTTTAAACGCCAAACATCACTCAGTATACTATCACATTGGAATGACCCGAACGTTTGAACAGGTGAACTGTGAATAGTTTTACAATGACAAATCAGTCAGACTCACCATTTTCAACTTTGCCCTGCCTTGGCATGGTGTCGCGTCCCCGTTTATGGTCAGCAGCCTCCGCCATATTTATGCGATTTTCTGGCACAAGTGCCCGATAGTTTCACGTCCACTTTAAATTAATTTCGTACATATTGTTATGGCATAAACTCCATAACCGGAAGTTGTAAAACAGAAAACCGGATGTAGGAAATGAAAACCGGTAAAGGAATCTGTGAAGATTACCTCTCTTCGAGTTACAAAAGATTGCGACAGTATCGTACAGGTTATACACTCTGGATTAACCGGTTCGTCTACTTTTGTCGAAACGTTCTATGCAGGGTTTGAAGGCACAGATTTCAAGTGTAACATTGAGCAATCAAAACGAACATTTTTGATGTTTTACTAATTGACCAAAAACTGAACAAGAAAAACGTCTAAAACAGTTTTATATTTTCTAAATTTAAACAGCTTTATAACCCATGTTATATGTGGAACTTTTACTTTTATTAAGTTTTAAGAAGAAATTAGAAAGATAACAGTCGGAAAAAAATCAACAATATCGTTTTGAGAATAAAATTGAAACGCATAAATAAAAATAGTGTCGCAGAAAAAAGAATGAAAGGCTTTAATTTAGTTTGCTTGCATTTAAACGAGAAAGACGTTTATTCAACTGAATTTAATCTGCAGTACAGGGATGCTTATCTTAGGATCATCCGATGCAATTTGATGCAATGTTTAATGAACACTTGTTACTCATACTGGATGCATGTTGATACAGCTATTGCACCAACTTGGCCTGTATTTATTTCATGTGAATGATAAAACCATGACCCATCACAACTTCTTTGCTTTCATCGTCCTAAATATGCATGTAGCCAGATTTGTCTCAGTTCCTGTCAATTAGGTAAAGCTCATGAGCGGTTGGACCTGCTGGATTTTTGTTTTCGATATAATTTCCAATAATTTAAATAAGAAATCTTCGGAACTTGTTTAATCAATCGTTAATCAGCAGATAAATAAATACAGTACTTAAAATAAGAACAAATTAAGATGGCAAAACAACGAAGGTCGGGGTAACCTATAATAAGTTTCACTTTCCTATTTAAAAAAACAACAACAAAAACAAAAAGAGGAGAAAATGTGCAAACATTCGTTGAGTTCTGATAACAAACTTGGGCGATATTGTATTGATTTATTCTGTATACTGTAAAAAACAATTGCCAAGAATAACATAACGAATGAGAGAGCACCTGTTATATTTAGCTGGCATTTCAAGTAACAAAAGGTTCATCCAAGCTTGTAGAAATCCAACACTGGTGTCAAATCTGTTTCTTTGAAATATATAAATCAGAAACAATGTAATATAGATGACAGGGTGTCACATAGTACTAATATTAATACCTGGTTACTGACGACGCAATATATAAAAAAAAAATTGTCGTCAGAAAGCTACGTTATACCAGCTAGGGTGTCACAATACACCAATAGTGTATCACGATATTTGCAATACAGAATGAAAATATTGTGATACGCATCCCTATATATTGTCAAAAGAAGGATGTGCTCAATTTTATAATAAGTCGTTGTCAGAATGTTACATGTATCAAACTTAACCAAATATAATATGGATTTAAGATTTTTGTCAAACCAACCATCGATTACAAATTTAAACTATTAAAAGCCATCTTCATGATTTAAATTTGCATATTTGTTTGAATTTGTAGTAATTTGCAAAGTTAAAATACCAAGCAGATACATGAAAATATGCTTTTGAAAAATATTGCTATACAGCAATATTTCATCTCTGTATTGTGATACGATATGATATACCAATGTATTGTGATATACCTGTTATCCGATATATTGTGACAGCCCTAATAGACGATGCCACGATTAGAACGGGTTGTCAAATTAAAGAAATGAAAAGGATTTATAAATTCTTAAGTTTCTATCTTGATAGAGAACTTATATCTTCAGCATGGTTTTGGTTGATTTTTTGCAAAATATGTTAAATATCTGTCACACCTACAGCACGACATGGCAGTATAGATTCAATAGTTCCAAGTGCTCTATTATCGTGATAGGCAGATTCATTCCAAGGGAACCCTCGTTTTCCTGGTCAATAGGAACCAATCCTATTCAAATTGCATTATCACATCTTCACCTCGGCGTCCCAGTTTCCAATAGGATGAACAATGGCGAACGGGTTGCTAAAGCATGTGAAAAAGGAAGAAGTGTCATCCATGCTGTTCTTGGAATTAATGCAAAGTCGACTTCCATGAATGCTCTAGTGGAAGTTAATATATACAGGAAAGTCGTCATTCCATCAATTCTCTTTGGATGCGAACATTGGTCGCAAATCAACCAGGCGGACATCCGTAATTTAAATACGTTCCAGCATTACGCTGACAAATTTATCCTAAACGTAGGGAAAAGGACACGGTCAGACATTGCAGAAAGCATATTGGGAATCCAGCGAATAGGCGCCACTATCGACCAACGGAAACTCATCTTCCTAGCACAACTGATTAACCTAGATTGTAGATACATTGTAAAAAAATGTTCTTAGTCCGTCTTTATAGCTACATTATTGGCGAGGAGGTTTCATCCCGGATATTGTTGCAATAATTCACAAATACACCCCAAGATCCTGTCTCGATTAGTACCAGCGAGAGTTCAAATTCCCGGGGAATGGTGAGTGGAAACGTGTCGTAAAGAGAGCCATTAGCCGTTTTGAAAATATTGCCTTAAGAACGAGGCTATCCAACGATGATGACTTTATTAGATTTAGACGAATTCATTCGACGTACCATCCCTATGTTCTGAGGGCTGCTTGCACATGTACAAAGCATATTAGACAAGTGTACTTCCTGTGTAATGGTTTGACCTGTGTTAATTCAAATCAAATCCGACGATGTACCTGTTGTCAGATAGACATCCAAGACACGACCCGCCATATATGTGTGTCGTGTCAATCAACCAGGTCACTGAAAAACCGCTTCCTGACTAATGTTATGCTTGCGTATGGACCACAAGTTTATTGTTATCTAAATGACATGGAAGACGAGGACTTCCTGTGTTCACTTTTTGGTGCAGAGACCCTAGTCCCAGACTTGCCAGACCACCCTACCAGAGACGATTTCAGATTTAAGTGTGCAGCCTTCATCAGGGAAGCTATGCACATCTATTATAGCAATAACTGAGCAGGCACTGCTACTCATCTATTTGCTGAACCCGATTGTGTTTTCTTACCAATAATATATAAAGTAATTATATAATATAACATATATTGAACTGTGATGACATATGATGATCATTCGAAATCGTATGGTCTGAGAAAGCTTATATTTGGCTATTATCCTATCACTAATTACTGATTAATTAGTATGTGTAAATACTAGCTGAATATTGGTGGTAGCGCATAACAGTGATATGTGCGTGCGTGTGTGAGGAATGGTGCGTTCGAGTGTGTGCAAGGATGTGTGCGTGCGTTTCTGAGGTGTGTGTAAGCTTAAGTGTGTGAGGGTGAGTGCGTGCGTGTGTGAGGAAGTGTTCGTGCTCGTGTGTGTGATGATGTGTGCGTGCGTAATTCTGATGATTGGTGTGTGTGCGTGTGCGTGTATGTGCAAGGAAGTATGCGCGCGTATTTGATGATGCGTGCATGTGTGTGCGTGTGTGAGGATGCGTGCGTGCGTGTGTGCGTCCTGTGTGCATGTGGGAGGGAGAGAATGTGTATGAATGTTAACCTGAGATTTATATTCACTGAACTGGACCAAGGAAATTGTTTTCCTCAGTGTCTACTGTTTTTGTAAATGTGTATATATATGTATCATGTGTTTCAATGTTTACATTTTATGTTTATGTACAATTTATCTCCATATCGGAGGAAATAAAGATTGATGATGATGATGAAATATAATATGGATTTAAGATTTTTGTCAAACCAACCATCGATTACAAAATTTGAACTATTAAAAGCCTGCTTCATGATTTAAATTTGCATATTTGTTAGAATTTGTAGTAATTTGCAAAGTTAAAACACCAAGCAGATACATAACGTACATACAAATATGCTTTTGAAAAATATTGCGATACAGCAATATTTCATCTCTGTTTTGTGATACGATATGATATACCAATGTATTGTGATATACCTGTTCTCCGATATATTGTGACAGCCCTAATAGACGATGCCACGATTAGAATGGGTTGTCAAATTAAAGAAATGAACAGGATTTATAAATTGTTAAGTTTCTATCTTGATAGAGAACTTATCTCTTCAGCATGCTGCATATTTGGCAGATTTTTTGCTATTTTTTGTTGTTTTTGTTTTGACATTTTATAAATGATTTTTTAGGCATTTTCATTTCTTTTAATCATCTGAGCTTAATATGTTCTAAAATAGTTCAGTTTCATCATACATGTATGTCAGGTCCGACTGAACTATGTAACTGTAAAAAAAAACGATATAGCTATATCCATCTATAATTGATACCTGTATGCAGCAATATGTGTTAAAGTTTTTATAGAAATAAAGCAAAGTCACTAGAGGTTTACTTTTAATTTTCATAACTGTAAATTTTCATTTTTTAAACTTTTCTTTGATGTATTTTGTAATAAAATGTTGATAAAATATTGTATTTCTATACAGCTATATATAGCTATATCAGTTGCCAGAGTTAAATGGATCTGTATGTTACCTCATTTGTTTTTAAGTTTAGTTTTTTAAGATTTTTGAAATGAGAGTACACAAAGTTTGAATAAAATATAGAATGTAAAGAAACACTTTCCAGTGCTTACTTTTAGTAAAAAGATGCTACAACTGAAAACGGTAAAAATGAGCTATTAATGGTTGATCTGAGAGAATGTGTTGTATGAAACACAGGTAAATATCGGTTATTCACAGGTGAAATGCAGATTTTATGAAACAGTATATAATTGACTTGCCATTGTTTCATAAAGCAACACTTGCCTATTGTTGGTAAGTATGTTGGCACTCAGATAACACCTGGCAGCAGGAGGCCCAAGACACACCTTTATACATGTATCAAGGTATGACACCAAACGGATGTCACCAGGGGGTACCTGAAGTTAGTATGTAGAGCACGTGTCTTCCAATTTTCCATTTAACAACAATGTCCTCAGGTTAGATAACGGGGAAATGTATAAGGATCAACTTCAAGGAAAATATGCATAAATGAAATGCATTATCACTGTCAAAAAAACCCGTTATATACAAACCATAGACGGTACAAGTCATCACCCGACAGATGAAAGTTAGGGGGAAACATAATGCTGAACAGAGACGTATAATATATACGTCTCTGCTCTGATGTTCATCTATCGGAATACCAAAGACCATCTTCAAAATCCAAGGTTTTTAATATCACTAATTCCTTTTGTTTTACATATGAGTATCTTTTAGTCTGTGTTACATGCATAACTGACTGTGATATTTTATACTTGTGTTGTAATGTTGTTATCCATTCTGTAAGTGGACCCTTGGGTCTGTTGAATTGGAAATAAATAAATAAACGTAGCGAATATTTTTTCGAAAGAGTAGATATGTATATCACCAGCCATTCCACTTGGATGATGATTTCCTGTGGTCAATCACGGGTTCCTTATATATCCCAGTAATTCACACAAAACTCATTAACTACCTTCTAAACAGATTTCCTGTCAGATCAAAATGTGGCCGTACAAGAAATTCATTATAACCAAAGAAATTACTGAAATAATGATAGATTCCCGGGGAAAATGACACTTGTATACAACCTAAATATGATCATTGAGGTGTCATTTTTACCGAAAGTCGATCTAAACCCCTAAAACATATAAAATTACTCTGAACACCCATGGGGCCAAGTTTAGAATAGGTCGAAATATAGATGTAACAAAGTATCAGGTCCCTGTGAGGTTGATCAGACCACTTCCTACAAATGTTTTTACTGGGTTTAAAAAAAAAAAATTATCAAAAAGACAAATGATAAAAAGTTTATGATATATGACCATTTTAATAATATACCACGAGTGTCCTGATATCAGCCAGAGGGGCCGAATTAGAAAGGAGAACACACCGAAAAGGTGTTTGATATCAAAATTGTCATAAAATAACCTCCAATTATCAAATCATAAGAATGGAAATTATAAATTATAAAAACAAAAGTTATAAAGGCCCGGACGATTAGTGTATTAAAATAGCGGTCTCTCTTGTGTTGTACCGGACTCTTCAAATATCAAAATGTATGATATCAAAATTGTCAAATTTGTCATAATTGTCGTCAAATTTGTCATAATTGTCAAATTTGTCAAATTTGACATAATTATCAAAAATGTTATTTACCTCCAATTATCAAATCATACTATATATAGAATTGAAATAACAAAAGATATAAAGGCCCGGACGATTAGTGTATCAAAATAGCGGTCTCTCCTGTGTTGCACCGGACTCTTCAAATATCAAAATGTATGATATCAAAATTGTCATAATTGTCAAAATTGTTATTTATCTCCAATTACCAAATCATATATATATATAGAATGGAAATAACAAAAGATACAAAGGCCCAGACGATTAGTGTATTAAAATAGCGGTCTCTCCTGTGTTGCAGCGGACTCTTCCGGACCTTTGTTGGTTTTATAGGTACATATGCCGTAATGTAGTATGAGCCTAAGTTTGTGTCCTACTGCCGCCATATTTGAAAGGGAACGCAGACGGAACAATTATTACGACATTGTATTTCACTTCTGACCAGTAAGTACACAAAAAGATAACAATGTACGAAAAATCCAATGTACGCACGTACGGTCAACATTCGATCAGAAAATCGAAGTTTGCTGACTTTAGATCACCCTCTGAATGTTGAAATGCTCTCCATATTTTGTAGGGAGACTCGATGTTTTACCCTAAACTGAACATTTCAGCCAGTATATTCCCTTAACCATCCTATGTTCTAAGATCTAATGGTATTAACTAAAAGAACAACTAAGAAGATGCTCTTCTGAGATTTTGGTCGCGGATCGGTAAAGTGCAGGCAAAATCGCCATGCACCCAAATTCGCCACCCTGTGACGAAAATGCCATATGACGTCATAATACATAAGATATGACGTAAATAACGTAACCATAGTATTTAACACAGTTAAAGCCTTCAAATATTTTGTATAAGAAGGGAAAATTTAGATTATTAATCAAAACAGTTGTAAAATATCTTGTAACACAACGAATCTTTTATTTTTTTTGTCTGTGCACAGGGGCATGGTACAAATGTCTGAAATACACACATGCTATACTGATATTGGTCACAACACACATAAACATACAGTGTATGTTTATGTGTGTTATGACCCATATAAGTATAGCATATGTGTGTATTTCAGATATTTGTAACGTGCCCCTGTGGTCTATGCGACAGACATCTCGTCAACTAAACTCATTAATATGAGGCCCGTTGGTAGTTATTGAGTTTAAATTCATTACATACATTGTACACATTGACAAAACCCATATCTCGGTGCTAATTGCAGTAAATGGTTGACAAGGCTGTCAATGCTAGTAAATTGTTTTTCTACAAATTAAGGAACATTTTAAGAGTGCATGAAGACATCAAAGTAAACATATCAGAATACCAGTAAAAACGACGTATGTCGACGAAATTGTGGAGGAATTTGAAGGGGTTAAATAAAAGCATATTTAAATGTTGATTTCTGGTCCTTATAACAGGATAATATAAAAGTGAATATATACAATTATAGTTCACTATATGGTATTTATAAAAGAAATATATTTTGTTGTATTCGGCACATCAACTAGTAGAAATAAAAAAAAAGTTTCATAGTCTGTGATATGGGTACTAATAACGGCCAAAAAACGGATGAAATCTCACTGCGGGTTAAGCGTTCTATTTTCAAAAGCAAATTACTTAGATATAAAACTTTTCCTGAAAATTAACCACCATAGGTAGTCTTGGTCAAAATTCGAAAAAATATTGGATCCAGATGCAAGATCTGAATTTTTAAAGATAACTAAAAAACTGTCAAAATTGTACCAATTGTGATAGCATGTTCATCAGATTTATAGTTATAAGAATTTAACAGGTTACATTCTTGAGATTTGAAGCATTTTCTTCAATTTTTCTCGATAATAGTGAATACACGGATGTTTCAGGAATGCATGTACAGGTAAGTTTTTTTCATGAAATATAATATAAATGCAATTTTTCGCCACTCAAGTTCTGCTTTCAAAAGTTACTTTCCAGACAAAATCAACAATATTTTCGACAAATAATTTCTGCAAAGGTCATTATTGACATTGTTCTTGACATGGGAACATACTAATTAAGCAACTTCCATATTTCTTTTTCATTTGGAGGAAAGGTTATGAGCATACTATACAATGTATACACCGACATGAGCCTGTATCAAATACCTTAAGATATAACGTCACAGTTTTTGCCAGGTGTTTATAGGGTCCGGTTACAGGGACTCATTCTCAATTGAAGAATGACCGATTTCAGTCTTTATTTTCGAAATTGGATAAAAAAAAAACAACATTTTTATACAAGTTTCCAGTCACAAAGTGCAATGTTCAAAACTACTTGTATTACCATCTATGAAGGAGCATTCAATCTGAGTACATAAATAACGAAACTTTGAAATTGAATTAACAAAACACTGAAAATTGATGTGTTTATTTAATTATTGCTATACATTTCACTGTAAGAAACAGCTAGATGACTGCTAATCACATGGCAGGTTTTATTTTTTCCAAACATATGATATTTTCTCATACCTGTACGTGTGCATGTGAGAAGTCACTCAGAACACTGATATTTTCCCCAATTCCTGCTCAGGGGCCCTTTCCCAAAATAGCTGGCAAAACCCCTGAACATTAGCAGGGGCAGGGGTCCTTAAGTCTGAGGAAAAATATTCTTTCCACACAGATGTACGTATACAGTTGAATAAATTTATGATCAGAAGTAAATGGCTAGAGGAACAGGTGGTTTATGAAATTGAAGATTTAACCATGAATATAATAATGAGCCTGATTCATTAAATACTTTTACTGTTATTGCAGGATAAAAGTTATTGCAGGATGAAATTCTTTTATTTAATTTTCTTTTTTACTTTTTTTTAGCACAGGTGGGATCGGAAATGGAAACCATGCTTTTCAGTGAAATCTCTATAAACAGTGATGGCTGTTGTCTTGTTTGTCACGACGACACTGTGTACAAAGTCAAGGTCATCTTTGGTCAGGAGGTCAGGAAGTGTGACAGCATGGAGTTCCATTTAGAACTGGAGCAGGTGTTTCGGGCTGTACTTCATTTAGCTCAGAGTGATAAACCCATCCCACCCATATTCACCAATCACTTGATGGTGAAGCCTCTCAAAAAAGACTGGGCTATTTGTCATAAAATTGGGTTCCAACAGAACGGCAAAGATTTGCAGACGTCAAGATATTACTTTCAGTTTCATGTAAGTGAACGGCCAGTCTGGAAAACCACCCAGGACAAAGTGTTAAGTGGTAAGAAACCCATCTTCACCAAGAACCATGAAACCACAGGTAAGCAGACAAGGAAGAAACCAACTAGAAATAATGAGAGGGACGACTCAGAATTCCCTGACAGGGAATCTGAGGACAGAGAATTCGAAACCAACAGTAGACAGCCTAAGAATAGGGAATTGGAAAAGCAGCAAACTTCTAGTAGACAATTACATAATGGAGTTGGGTACAGTGGCCATGGGAATTTGGATAAGGGACATACTCATTGCAGGAAAACGGATAATAGAGAGTTACAGAGAAGGGAATTGCAGAAAAGAAACTGTTATGCGAGGGAACAAGAGAATAAGGAGACAGTGAGTAAAGGGAAAAACAGGACAGCATCTAGTGACAGTGAAGATGATCAACTGGAAAGCAGAAGATGTTTAAGGAGGTCAGCTAGAATAAGTGATATTAGTAGTAAAGAAATTGACTCAACTGGACGCCGAAGTATGAGAAAACGCGTTGAAAGATCTGCTGTTATTGAGTTATCACAATCTGGGGTCACTGATTTAGACATCACAGGTGGTACAGAATCTGGTCCCACAAATCAGGAGGACAACTGGAGACAAAAGAGGAAGTCTAGCAATCTTAATGTTGACGATATTACAGGATTTTCTTATAAAGTGAATAAGTTTCGCTCAAAAATATATGGTAGAGACGACCAGTTGGGAAAGAACAATCGGCATGTGCTGTACAGAGCTGGTGGTTGTGGTCATGGTACAGAACGGCCGCCTCTGATCATGGAGCTGCCAGAGGTGTCTCCCTCAGATGGGACAGCAGAAATCCCCAACAAATCAAAACGGAAGAGGCCATCTGACACTGACCAAACACTTACAAAAGACCAGACCAACAGTTCAACAGAAAGGTGTGGTGGTTTAACGGCTTCTATTCCGAACAACAAACCAACCTATGATAATGTTCAGACCACAGTCAACCCACGTAGGAATCAGGATGGGTCATCAGACTCTCGTCAATCTGGTACGTCAAGTGAGTATATAGATTTAATGTCACTACTTAAAGTACAATATATAACTTAAAAAAAGATATATATAAACTTCACTCAAATTCATATCCATTGAGTGTTTATTGATATTTTAGTGACTTTGTAGTAATAAAAGATATATACCCCATTCAAACTTTACAGTTAAGAAATTGGTCATTCTCAACCGAGAAAATTAAAACTGACCTTTAAAAATTAATATAAATTGTAAAATTATTAAGATGGTTGGAAAACAAAAGCAATTTGTTTCATGTACCTTGCTTTATTATTTGTAGGCAGGGTTCTCCCCAGATTTTTTTTAAGCTGATATGTTTCATCTGCAACGAAAATTCAAGATGGACACGCTAATATAATACCTTATTATACCTTATCAAACCTAAGGGGGGGGG